ATATGCTTTTTTTTTAAACTGCAGAAATCTCCTCCTGCAAGCACTGACGTTTGTATTCTGAGAGTAGAATTCTGCTGCTGTCAGAATATACAGATCAGTGATGCAGCTGATTGGCATTCCTGCAAAGCAAACAACAACAGTTAACAATAGCACACACAGCAACAATATAACATTAACAACTTGCCGACCCGCCACAGAACATTTGCTATGGCAGGTCGGCCCGTACTGGTCCCTATCCATTTCCTCTAAACACAGCTAAAATCTAAAATCTAACAACCTGTGTGAAAGGGGCCATATTGTATAATATTACTTAAAAAGAAAGATGGCACAGATTTTGTGTAGATTACAGAATGCTGAAAGCAGTGATTACATTTGGGGGAGATTTACTAAAACTGGAGCACTCAGAATCTGGTGCAGCTGTACATTGTAGTTTATCATCTTCTAACTTCAGCTTGTTCAGTTAAGCTTTGACAAAAAAACCTGGAAGCTAACTGGTGTCTATGCAGAGCTGTACCACTCTCCAGTTTTAGTAAATCAACTCTATTATGTCTCTTACCTAGCATTGATGAGCCATTGGCAGTGTTAGGGAACCCTAGACTGGGCAAGTGGTCATTGATCGATCCCAATGGCAGAGAAAGTTTAGTGAAACAATGCCTTTATAACCCCCATGGGATTGTTTCAATTCAAATAAATACACTGCTCAAAAAAATTAAAGGAACACTTTGAAAACACATCAGATCTCAATGGGGAAAAATATCATGCTGGATATCTATACTGATATGGACTGGGTAACGTGTTAAGAACTTAACGATGCACCATCATTTGATGGAAAGGAAAATTATCAACATACAGAGGACTGAATTCAAAGACACCCCAAAAATCAAAGTGAAAAAAAACGATGCAGCAGACTAGTCCATTTTGCTGACATTTCATTGCAGCAACTCAAAATGGTACATAGTTTGTATGGCCCCCACGTGCTTGTATGCATGCCTGACGATGTCAGGGCATGCTCCTAATGAGAGAATGAATGGTCTCCTGGGGTATTTCCCCCCAGATTTGGGCCAGGGCATCACTGAGCTCCTGTACAGTCTGAGGTGGAAGCTGGCGGCGTCAGATGGACCGAAACATGATATCCCAGAGGCGTTCTGTTGGATTTAAGTCAGGCGAGTATGAGGGCATTCAATGGTATCAATTCCTTCATCCTCCAGGAACTGCCTGCATACTCTCTCGCCACATGAGGCTGGGCATTGTCGTGCACCAGGAGGAACCAAGGACCCACTGCACCAACGTAGGGTCTGACAATGGGTCCAAGGATTTCAAAGGTACCTAATGGCAGTCAGGGTGCCATTGTCTAGCCTGTAGAGGTCTGTGCATCCCTCCATGGATATGCCTCCCCAGACAACCATTGACCCACCACCAAAACGGTCATGCTGAATGATGTTACAGGCAGCATAACATTCTCCATGGCTTCTCCAGATCCTTTCACATCTGTCACATGAGCTCAGGGTGAACCTACTCTCTTCCATGAAAAGCACAGGGCCCCTGTGGTGGACCTGCCAATTCTGGTGTGCAATGGCAAATGCCAATCAAGCTCTATGGTGCCGGGCAGTGAGCACAGAGACCACTAGAGGATGTTGGGCCCTGACCCTCATGAAGTCTGTTTCTTCTGATTGTTTGGTCAGAGACATTCACACCAGTGGCCTGCTGTAGGTTATTTTGTACGGCTCTGGCAGTGCTCATCCAGATTTCATCCTTGCACAAAGGAGCAGATAACCAGTCCTGCTGATGGGTTAAGGACCTTCTATATCACTGGCTCTCCTCCTAAAGAAACTGCCTGTCTCCTGGGATCTCCTCAATGCTCTTGAGACTGTGCTGGGAGACACAGAAAACCTTCTGACAATGGCACGTATTGATGGATGTGCCATCCTGGAGGAGTTAGGCTGCTTGTGCAACCTCTGTAGGGTCCAGGTATCACCTCATGCTCCCAGTCAGTACCAGTAGTGACACTGACCCTAGCCAAATGCAAAACTAGTGAAAAACAGTCAGAAAAGATGAGTAGGGAAAAAAATGTCAACGGCCTCCACCTGTGAAACCATTCCTGTTTTGGGGGTGGTCTCATTTTTGCCCATCTAGTGCACCTGTTGTGAATTTCATTAACCCAAAAGCAGCTTAAACTGAATAACAACCCCCTCTGCTACTTAACTGACCAGATCAATATCACAGGAGTTTAATTGATTTGATGTTATACTCTGATTAAAAAGTGTTCCTTTAATTTTTTTGAGCAGTGTACTATTTGGACTTTCAAATGCACCCACCACCTTTCCACTTAAATTTTAAATATTTAAGTATCTATCTGGACGACATAATCTTCTTTTCTTCATTTCAGGAACACCTTGAGGCTTTAGAGACTCTTCATGAGATTAGGAAAGCATGAATAAAAAATTGAAGCCACAAAAAGTAATCAGTGAACTTGCAGGGGTAGAGACCTAAATTAACACTGGATTCCTCCTCAGTCTATCTGCTTACCACTTCAGACAGGAAATCCTCAGAATATTTGGTTTTCGTCTAAGCGTTGCTGAGGTGCGAGCCCAGTGCAACCATACTGCCAGATTTATCTCAGACCTACCTTCTTCCAAGTCTCCAAAACATGCCCTAATGGCCTTAGGGAGAAAAAAGCTAAATGTTGTGGTAAACTAGGCCTTCTGTACCTACCCACCCAAGGATTGCTCTATAATTGTCTGTGTGTATAAAGACCGAAGCACAATTTTTTGAGATTTGAAAAAAACAAACAAACAAATGGACTGATACAAGGTTTTCATGAGATGTATATGTATTGCTATACAAGAAAATAAGTTATCTGGATTCATATATGTCATGCTGTTTATAAAGTGCATAAGCACCAAAAGTCTGAGTGTATCTCTTTTGTTCCCCACAAAACTGTGTATACTCTGGAATGGGCAGACCAAAATTCTTTCATATTCTGAAAATGGCTTCCCAATAACTAAAATTGGATCCCAAAACCAATGTCACTTGAGAGTTCCACGGACCCTTACCCCTGCCTTGATAAGGTATGTAATGTGTGTTTTCTAGCTAAACACCCTCTTTATTTTCAAATATGACAACCTTTAATCTCTTCAAAAGAAATAGTCTGGCCCTTTGCCTGTCCTGTCTTATGACAATTTGTTTCCTATTCAAGCTTTCAGCTCCTCTGCTCATGTAAGTGGACAGCAGGTGAAATTTTAAAATGTCAAAAACAGAGAATGCTTTGGTCACTGCATTGACCTTACTATACTCAGAATGTTTCATGCCAAAGTCTTACTTTAAAGTTTTTTTTTTTTTATTCCTTTATTGAAGTCAGGTCCAGTGGGTCATTTTACAAGCACACAGTGTGCATGATGTCATCACGCTGGCACAGAGCATGTGCACAATGTCATCCTGCCACAGCATGGGACGCAGGGCCGGAGCCATTCTGCCCACATGTTGGTGGGCCTGGATGGTGGGGCTTTGCTCTCCTTACAGATGTGGGCGTACATGGTGTTTGGGAGGGGCTTGATTTCCCCTTGCGGATAAATTGAAAGGGCAGATAGAGGAAGTATTTTCACAAATAAGATATATTGAGGCACTCTTCTTCTCTCTGGGTAGTATTTGGTGTCAGCCTTTGTACATAGACATATATCATTCTGATTTACTTGGCTTTTTGTTTCACAGGCTTGTTTATCCACCTTCGGTGGGACATTGGGTTTTTAATATCACTGAATTCGATCTATGCACCAAATTCTGTTTTTTTAATTTACAGACTTTATGTTGGTGGCATCCACGCCTGAGGAATGGAAGAAACATTCATGAAACATGTAGAGTTATAGGATGCACTCCTTTTTATTAATTTGTATATCTGGGAATATGTGCAATGGAATATATGTACCAATATAATGCACATTTTTTGCTGATGTATGATGAATATAATGAACCAGATTGTTATTTTAATTACTTATTCACTATATGTACAAGATTTTCACGCATTGGTTATTAAACTGATAGTTTATGTACAATCTGCCTGTATGTCCAATGTTATGCCTCATTTACCATGCCATGGGCAAATGACTAGTTTTATGTACATGTTGATGAGAGATGGAGGCACAGTACTTTTATGCCAGATCACAACTTATTGCTATGCAATTTACAAGCGGGTCCACTTCAACTCCTACTCCTTTTTGAAGGTGATATGTGCTTGCTGGGACCCCCTTTGGGCTCACTCACACGTATGTTGATTATGAAGAATGAAGCAGTGCTCATTAAGGCTCCTATGGCATTTATGATGTGTTTATGACGTGTTTCATGGTATTTATGAGGAGTTGAAAATGCTTCAAGAATGCTCAGTAAAAAGCCTATGTTAGCGTTGCTTTTCTAGTGGGAAGTGCTTAAAAGAAAAGTGATGTACAGAAAATGATCTAATTTGGTATGTTGATTTAGACTATATTACAATAATTATATAAAATGAAAAACATCCATGTAATCAAATTCACTATTCCTCTCTTGCTCCCTGTTTCCAGTCTAAGTTTAATACCCGCTTGGTGACATGTTGCCAGATCTGTTTTTCTTTTTGTATACGTCACAATAGCTCGTGATACTTGGGTCATATAATTCCAGGTGCTGTTCCACCTCTTCTATGAATACTGATACATTAATATCAGCCTTCATGACATTTGCTGATGTTTTCCTTTCCATGTACTGGCACTTGCTGATGAGGTCTTTTGCTGACACAAAAAGCATTGCCACTGACAATAATGCTCAATGCCTTTTCTCCTACCTGGCACTGCCAGTATTGCTGGCTGGCTTGATGCCTTTGACTGCACCCAGAAGAAAATGGTGTTATTACACAGGGGCGGACTGACAACTCATGGGGCCCCCGGGCAATAGGGGATCATGGGGCCCCTGTGTCCTTGCCCAAACTCAAAAAATCCTATGAAAAAGGTACCAGGGGCATCTCATGGGACCCCCTACTGACCCCGGGCCCTCGGGCAGTGCCTGAGTTTCCAAATGGTCAGTCCGCCCCTGTTACTACATGACTGTTCTGTACAACCAGTGAGTGGCTGGAGCTGCTCTGTCCTAGTTCTCTATTACTTCCCAGTGCATTCTGGGGTACTGGTGCCTCCACTGTCTCTCCCCCAATGCCCAGCTAACATTGTTTTTCACTAACACACCATAAATGCTCTAGGTGCTGTTAAGGTGTGGTTATAAAGCATTACCATTGAAATCAATGGAAGTAGTTGAGAATAGGCGATGCCTCATGAAAGCGACATGCTGCTTAATTTTTAACACGACACAATGTTACCGCTCCTGTGTGAACTGCACCCGTTGTAACATTCCTGGCAGGCTTTGACAGGAAGTTGAGGCTTTAGAAATACAGAATAAATGCCGCATAAACACATGGTATTGACTAACGTGAACAAGCCCTTACAGTTTCTTTGTTCTCCATTCTGCCCAACTGTCCCACTGGCTACTGGAATGTCTAACACTATCATCCTTTCCCCACATAGCCATAATCTTAACAAAGATCCTTAGAATGTAGTGGCCCCCAATTAAAAGAGAAAAAAATCACCTTAACTGCTAAAAACCGGACATAACTTTTCTAAAAGAGATTAATTGGAAAACTGGCCACTCTAACCAAACAAGAAATAACTGGATAGGGAAGACAATCGCTACCTCCACTGACTCAGGAGTATTTTTCCTTCCAGTGCCACCACTGATTCAGGGACATTTTTGTGTGACACCACAGATGCAGGGGAATCTTTTCCTTTTAGTGATACCAAAGACACAGGGGCATTTTTTCCTCACATCGATGTCAGGGCAATTCTTTCAACATCATGTCAGCCCCATATTTTGGAATGTTACATATGTTTTTATGTGGCATGCTGCATCCCATATTTTAAAAGTAGTTATTAAGAGGTTGTCAAATGAATTATCATGTCACCCAATATTGGTCTCCATTCAGTAGCCAAAAAAGACATTCAAAAAAGGGGGATTTGTGAAAAGAAATTCACAGAAAAAGCGGCTACATTATGAACAGAACGTGACACTCAGAAAAAATTTCCAAAAAATTATGCTTTATTACACACATATAAATATGACATATGGGCGTTCGCCCTGGTTTACCATCACCTCAGTATGAGACAATACACACAGACCTAAAACCATATAAAATGACACCAAGACCGGTCTAAATGCATGTGCAACAGAAAAAATGACTGCAGGAGTCTAATGTCCCTGTAGCACAGACACATAGGTGAACACTTCCCAAAAGAGGTGTATCCAAAAAATTATACCATAGGCATACCATAATATTGAATTTATGAATAGAACAATACCATTATGGTGAATCCCAATCGGGGAATCCAAAAATTGTACTATGGATATAAGTATCACATGTATGCAATGCAGCAAGCACAATATGCGTCAAAAAGAGAACAACAAGCCTCAGGCCTGTAGAATGTAGTGGCCCCCAATTAAAAGAGAAAAAAATCACCTTAACTGCTAAAAAAACCGGACATAACTTTTCTAAAGAGAGATTAATTGGAAAACTGGCCACTCTAACCAAACAAGAAATAACTGGATAGGGAAGACAATCGCTACCTCCACTGACTCAGGAGTATTTTTCCTTCCAGTGCCACCACTGATTCAGGGACATTTTTGTGTGACACCACAGATGCAGGGGAATCTTTTCCTTTTAGTGATACCAAAGACACAGGGGCATTTTTTCCTCACATCGATGTCAGGGCAATTCTTTCAACATCATGTCAGCCCCATATTTTGGAATGTTACATATGTTTTTATGTGGCATGCTGCATCCCATACCCTACAGCCCCCCTTCCCCAGGGAAGGATTGGGGGGTAGGAACAGTTTGGAATCTTCACCCTGGGCACTTGATGACCTTGTCCTGGCATTAACAACCTGGCATTGAAAAATGCAGGTCCAGTGGTATGGACCTGCAATTTTCCTCATTTATCCTCAGACACCCTCTTAAACTGTTTCTGGTTGCCTTGGAGCACAACCAAAGCCATAATGTATTGTGAAATGATGCTTAGATTTTTTCCATTGCCCTTACATTTCCCTGCATTGTTAAATTCACACAATGAAAAACAAAGGTTGGAAATCCTAGTACATCAGTTTTTCTTCTGTGTTGATCACCCCAAAACATTACAAAATGAAACAAAAGAAAAAACTCCAAAAGCTCAATGTCACATTTACCAGGCATACTCAGCTGTTCCAGGTACATGGCTGGAAGTCCACCAAGGGTCCATTCCCCACAACACCACCTCCCTGGGATTGTACAATGGGCATTCAGCAACATATTTATGATTGGGTACGAGTCAGTTACTCTTGGATTTTCTTATTATAATTTATGAACAAAAATACTTACAACTTGTCAATTACAGTGACATTTACTGAATATGAATTGCCATTTCTTGATCACAAACTCAGAAAGAACTGTGGTGGGAGGATTAGTACCTTTCAGGTAATGGTATACTGCATGAGAGCAATTTTCACCCCTGACAACTAATACAGAGCATAACAATAGACCAATACCTATGGGTAAAATGCAACTCTATTACTAAAGTTAAATTTGAATATGAAACTAAAAAAATTGCAAACACAATTGTTGGCCAGTGCTACAGCAAAACATTCCTGAAACAGATGCAGGTATATACACATGCTAAAAGTAGCCTTAGATCGCTATTGTGACATCAAGTTTAAAATTCTTTAGCTTTAGAAAAGAACCCATTTCATTACTAAGTTTATCAATTTAAGCTGATTCATTATACAAGTCTTAAATAAACACTGCATCTTTTAGCAAATGACAGTCATTTCTAAATTTATCAATAGTAAATCTAATTTAATATTTGAAAAAGGTCCATCCCTGAGAACCAGACTGGTCCCTAGTCATTTTATACCATTCCTAAAAAGAGAATCATGTAGTAGGCTGCCACTAGGCAACTATAAATGTGGCTACTGTGTGCATTGTAAACATATTTGTACTGAAAAAAAGCTTACATTACCAAATAAAAAAAAATTATGCCACAGCATTTTGTAATTTATATCTATTAACATATTTAAAGTGAATTTCTGCAAAAGAATACACAATCATATTTATGCAAATTCTTTTGTCATTCTAAAGACACTAGTAGAGATATTTTGCCTCCCACTATAGATATTGAGCCTTCCATTTATAGCCCAAGACAGAGTCCACCCAAATTCTATGGGAGGTGATTTCAATAAAATTATACAGCAAAAGGAAACCCAATGGATTTTTGATTTGGATGGAAATATTGTCCCAGGTCTTAACAGCCAAATTAGTTTCAAACCTTTTCTAGTGAAGCTATGGATTACACTCCCCATGTGATTACCAAAAAAGCTATAGAATATTGTATATACCTTATGGATATAAAAATGAAAATTTGAAGGGTATGTGATTTTATCTCAATGTATCTAACAATGTGTAAGCCCCTTATACCCCCCTAGGGAGGTAGAGATGTTGGGACCAGACCCTCAATAGACTTCTGGCTATGTACCCATCAGAGTAAGGTATGTCTGGTAAAAAGCAACAGTCTGGAATTGTTTCTGCCCCTATATACAAGAACATGTTAAAAGATAAAGACTGGTATAAAATTATGTCACCTAATGGTTTGTTGCCATAGTAAGAGGAGTTCTTTGATATTGTCACCTCAGCATTTAATCATCAATTGATTATAAAAAACATGAATATTTAAAAATTCAACATTCTATTACACCAACATTCTATGCCCTCCCCAAGCTTCATTAAATTTCAACCCACCCCCTGGAAGACCAATAATATCTGCGGTATTGTATTATCAGAAATGCTAGTAAATTGGTTTATAATTTTGTACATCCTCAAGTAGAAAGATTTCTTTTCTACTTTAAGGATGTGAAACATTTGTTTATGGTCTTTGTTCTGCCTCTCCAGTATAAGCACGGGAAGTGTGACCTCTATAACTGTCCAGCTTTTATTTTTATTTTTATTACCGGTACTTATATAGCGCCGTCAATTTACACAGCGCTTTACATATATTGTACATTCACATCAGTCCCTAACCCTCAAGGAGTGTACAATATAAAATCCCTAACTCACATTCATACAGTACATACACATACTAGAGCCTGTTTAGACAGGAGCCAATTAACTTACCAACATGTTTTTGGAGTGTGGAAGGAAACGGGAGTACCCGGAGGAAACCTATGCAGACACAGGGAGAACATGCAAACTCCAGGCAGGTAGTGCCATAGCTGGAATTTGAACCAACAACCCTAGTGCCGCCTGGCGGAAATACTAACCACTTAGTCACTGCTGTTCAGTTGTGGTAAGATGGCTGTACAAATCCCTGTTAAAAATCTATAATTTCAATATTAAAACAAATTAGGAATCAAGTCCAAGCATTAAGTGAAGACTCTATTCCAGGAACACCTGAAAGAGAAAAAGGAGATAAAAAGAGAATAATACAAACATTAATAACTGTGACTTGTACAGTCATTACTGGTGTCTGTAAGATGCCGCAGAAGACAGTTTATGGGTATACCTTTAGAGGGGAAGGCAGCAACATGCACCAGTTCTTATTACCTACCTTTGAATCAAGTTAATCAGAAGGGAAGGCAGCAACATGCCCCAGTCCTTCTTACCTCCCTTTGAATGAAGTTCTTGATTTAGAGGATGAATCCTCTTCCTTTGACAAAAGACATACATAGACTGATGACATCAATGTTGGGAGGTCCTTTGCAGATTCGCCATCTACGGCACCCTACATGGCTCTCAATGTTGGTTGTGAAATGATGAATAATGTTGATAAGTCATGAGATAGCTTGTACAATGGAACGGAAGACCTCTTGGAAAGGCATTCAATATTGTGAAAACTCAGCCTTGTCCTTGATTTCACAGTGATGTTGAGTGCAACAGTATTAGCTCCAATATCCTTATCAAACTCAGGAATAACCAGTTCAAAAATAGAATCAGTGTTAATCGTAATGGGATCATCATTCAAGGAGCCAGTTGGGAACAACCATGAAATTTTCAGAAAAGCAGTGGCTGGTACATGCACAAGTGTCATGATCAGCAGGGTTGAGCTTCGTAG